TCCAGTGATCACAGTGGTCACCCATCTTTGGGGAGGAGGGGTTCCAGTTTCCAGTTCCAGATCCAGTTCCAGTGCTAGATCCGGATCCAGTTCCACTTCTCGAACTGCATTGCAATTGCTATCACATTTTTTTTTTTGGGGGGGGAGGGGACTTCCAGTTCCAGTTCCTGATCCAGTTCCGGTGGGGGACACTATGGGTTGCCTTCAACTTGTGAAGTTTGACACCAACAACCAGCAATGACTTGCCAATGACTTGGACGCTTCCCCGCGGTCAGGGGATGTAGGTGGTTCTTCATGTTTGCTGTAGATATTTTGATCAGATGTTCTTTATTCATGTGGTGGTTGTCCAATATTCTTGTTTATTGAAACGGCCATTCTTCGCGAAAAAAACATTAACATTCGCGAAACTTTCGCGAACCCTGTGTTTTTCTTTCGCGGGGGTTCACCATGTCATGAAACCATTTAACCTGGTAGGGACTCGATTTCTAAATACAGTTTGTGGGGTTGCTATGGGCTACGGGGTTCCTCTGGAGCCGATTCATTCGCCGAAACCTTCGCCAGACTTTCGCGAAACTTTCGCGAAATAATCCCTGTGCTTTGGAGGTTTTTACGGCATACATAACATAGGGTGGACTACATGAAACAGGAAGGAAGCTTCACACGGATTCCAAAGTTGAAGCTGCTGACGGTCAGAAAAGGATGTGGTTATGCATGGGGCAAGCCTGAAGGCTCACCAAAGAACATACAATAAAAATTCATGCTTTCGCGAATCTTTCGCGAAAAAAACATTAACATTCGCGAACTCGAAAAAAAACTTTCGCGAGACCCACGATCATGTCATCCAAGGCTCTCGACATTAAAAACCCTTACAAGGACCTTTTGGATAACTCCCATGTCAACAAAGGCTTGAGAACACCTACAGCCAAAAAAATAGCTCATAAACGGTGGCTCGCAGGACTCTGTTGCATGAATCTGATCGAATCTGCCTCGGCCAAGTCCGGATTTGATGTCTCATTCGCCAGGAGCCTCAGTGGTGCCATTGGCCTCCATGGTGTTTTGGGGAACACTCAAGTATTGGCTTTTAGTGACCCGAATGTGGATATAGAAAAGTACATGATCATAAATGCATATAAATGATCCCTTCTTTAAGCAGGATTCTATTCATAAATACCATTGGAGACCATTGGACACCGTTTCTATCTATCTGTCTAGTTGGGGAGCTCTATACAAAACCAGGGAACCAATGGGAAGGGTCTCTAATCATGCCCGCACTGTTGGTTCCCTCTGTAGCTTCCTGTTCTGTCCATCTGTCCATCTATCAAATGATCATGTTGGGACCGGTGAAGCTGCAACAGCCAAGGATCCCAGGCACGTTTTGTTGTGACGGCCTACTATAGAAAGCACATGTCTGGTGCCACATTGTTTTCAGAAGGGCGGCGTTTTCTTCTTTTTTCAGAATCAAACAAACATCAAAACAATACAACAAAAATACAACGTCTTTTCAGAAAAGTGTTGGTCACAAACAACTGTTTGGATGATCGAGTTGAAGCTGGGCCCGATCGATCCTCACAGAAGTTTTTTTGTTTTGGGGTCAGCTTATGACAGAAGGGCTGGTAGCCTCTAGGCACAACAGAAAAACCAATATGTAATAAAACAACACAAATCACACTCACTCTTCAGGAAGCTCCTCAAGGAAAGTTGACTTGTGTTCTCACAGTTGATCTAGATTCTGTGCCCTAAGAAAGACATATTGTTTGAAGCATATTGAAAACTCATTGGTTATATGGAGCTCCTTTCTTCGAGCCAAATCCACGAGAACCATCCTGTTAATGTTCTGTTAACACCTGACCCATCGTTTTTGTTCCCGATTCCATCTCCTCCTCCTCCTTCTCCTTTCCTCCTTTCCGCCGCGTCGCTGACGCTTCGAGGCCCACAGCATGGCGCCGGCACCTGGGCGAGCCGGCCGGCACCGAGAGAGGAACCGTCCGCCGGGTACCGCGCCTGGACGAAGATTCGAGGCGAAGAACATCCGTCGATGGGACGAAGATCGATTCTCTGGAGACGTTCATTTATATAAACAAAAAACCACCAGTCATTTTGTCCAGTCGTCCTTTGCGACAGCCGTGAAGATGGGTCAAGTGAGTCAGTTTCGTTGAGTCTCATCCAAAACACAACGAATTCTCGGCAAATCCGATGAGTTTCATGTGCCTCTCCGACAAGCGATGAAACCATCATGCTTTATTGTCAAAGAACTCTGTGAACCACCCATAATCGCATTCACTCTTCCCCACGTTTGGGCAAAGTATATGTTCCCACCACACCGGCCTACTCTGCACCGCTCAAACTCGAGGCGACCACGGCGGCCTCGTTTGGCCATGTTGAAGGCCATCTGCTCTCCACTGCATTGCTCTTTGGAGGCATAACAAAGCACCTGAGCACTGAAATGGGCCTGGCGTAGGACCTCTGACCGCTGATTTAGGAACACATCACGCAAAGAGTCTAAGAGCATTCACCACAGCAACGTGGAAGTGGACAGCATGAGGCTACAACCGTTTAGTTCCTGTGGCACAGGATTTGCCATGCTGATCATGTAGTGTTCTGCATCCTAAACTGCTACTCCATTCTGACCAGAATGAGGCCGCCACACTCTGGGTGCTTTCGAAGCTTTGTCCACTGGATGAACCTCAGCCAGTGCTTCGTAAGGCAAACCAACCAGTGTTCGAAACGAACACCGGGCATCTGGTATTCTTGCGAACCCTCCGACGGCAACTCTGAGTACATTTCCCGCAACAAACGGGACCCTTGGAGTACTCATTCTTTGGACCGACGCGCGACTCGCACACGTCCGGCGCCGAAGGAACAACACTTGTCCGGAAGCACCAGCTGGGTCGCGGTGCCGGGCAAACCTCAGGTGGCCCAAAACGTCAGAGTGAAGGTGTAAAAACCCTCAGGAAGGTGTCCCCTGGCGATTTCAGGAAGTTATCATACTTGAATTGGGAGGGTCTGAGTCTGAGTGTCTGCCCCAAAATTCCTGTTGGATTCTGACAGTCACACACCTGCTAATGTTTTGAGAAGGTAGTGATCAATGGCCGTGCCGGAAAAAAGAACTAGCACAGTGTACAGGTGAGGTGACATACGCTCTCGGTCTATATTCATAAATTCTTGGTCTACATTTGATTAATGATGTTTTATGTTCCTTTACATAGAACAAACCTCCTCCTGAGGACGCTGTATGAGAATGCTTCAAGTACAACTAGTACAGCATGTATAAACCACGCGGAGCTTATATAACCTCTCGGGGAGGAACCACAATGACTTGCAAGAGGTCGTCATAGTTCCCATGTTTGTCCTTTGTTGGAGCATCCGCAAGCGCACACCTACAATACCATCAACAAACCATGTGGTTCCTGTATCCCTTCCAACAAACAAGGACATAGCGACCCATCGAACACTGATTGCCCACATTCCAAACATACTCAGTACTTGGACACTCCATGCATAGAGTATCAATTCACCTACACTGGAGTGGTTTTGAGAGGTTATAAGGGCCCTTCATCAACTTCATTTGCAGTTTTGCAACTTTCTCCTTCAGTGTCTGGATTCGTCTCTCAATGTCATCAACATCCCAGCTCGAATGTCAACCCTGATCTGTAGTTTCGTTTCCCTTTCCCTTTCGTTCATCAATGAGCCGTGAATATCGTAGCGGTCTGCGTGACAAATGAACTATGCTAGCCAACCGTTTGGGACGTCTCTGTTCTCATGGAACTCACCGTCGGACAGCCTTGCGTGATCAACGATTAATTGGATACAGTAACAACCACAACAAAACCACAAATTGTTGTCACCCTCTTCAATAAGCGCTCCAAATCTGACAGTTGTTGCCTCAATCTGCCAAAGTAGTAGGCACATATTCAGTACATGCATGGATTGTTGGGGGTAGGTTGGGCCATACCACACGACTGCCCTTGACGGCCCACCAAGAGGCTATCCTCCGTGGTCCAGCTGGCCAGCATGGCAGAAGTCCGGGCAGCTCCAGTCCTGGGCCACAGAGCCCAAATCAAGAACAACACATATCGAGTAACATCCAAACACAGTAAAAATATAGTCTACTCAGAGTGAACATGTGTCCCAAATCAAACCAAACATTCTGATCAAACATCTCAAACACGCATTCCGATCTGAGTATTCTACAGTATTTTATCCCTTGTAGACATAGGTTGTGGAACCTTAGCGCAGTAATCTTGCCATGCAAGACTCTTATTCCAAAGTTTTAAAAAACACACACTTCAACTTATAGTTGTTAGGTGGCATTGCGGGCTACCAGTCACTTTATCGTCTCAGGAATCTGGTTTTTGCTTTGGTCTCGGACACGCTGGCACTAAGCCAACATTATATCATAGACATATATATCCGAGTTATACAAGTACATATCATTACGGATGTTAGCATTCGCCCCAAGGTGAGGGTCTGCAAAAGGACAGAGTCCCGCATGATATATTACAACATATACCAAAAGGCTGGAGATATCCAAACTTCCTCTGGCCTGTTGCTGAAGCCTGAGAATGGGGCCGAAAGCCAGCGAGAGAACGCCCGCCCACAAGTACGGTGCAGGGAGACACTTTTTTGTATCGAGCACGGGCGCTGAGCTGCACCTGGTCCCTTTTGCCCACACTCATCCCCACACCCCCTGTAAATTACCCACTTCGACAGCATCCTGGAGTCAGCCTATTCGTGGCTGGAGGTTCCCTAATCATCCTAATCGGTCACACACTGGCACCCCCTCATAGTGCCTATCAGACCGGCAGCGCCTTCCATCACAGCTTGGCAGCAACTGTCCTGAAGTCGACCTGTTCGTGCGTGTAGGGCCTAGGGCTTCCCAGGTGCCAAAAATAGACTCGCAACGTCGAGAGCAAGCTCATTGTCAGACGTTCCGTGCTCTGGCATGGCTTTCCGTCTCAAGTTGTGAGCATCCTTCCCTTCTCAGTCAGACATTGGCACCCCCACCGAGGTGCCAAAAAATGGCCTCGATCTCAAGATCACACACTGCTGAAAGCCGGAACTATTCTGAAGAGTGCTTGCCGAAGTAGAATGGTTGGTCTGTTGACGATCTTAGAAGTGGCCCCATACAACTTGCTGATGCAAGTGATGCCGCGACACCTTCGGCTTGCATCTTCTGCATCACCAACCACCTAAAACTGTCTCCACCGAAAATCATTGACCACCTGGCTATGAAACGGGTCCTCTCCCCTTGCCTTAATTCTTACTCACTTCGTTCCCTCAGCCTACCCTGTTGGCTGGCTAAATGCAGCGGGCTCTCTTTTGTTATTGTTACTTTCGTTGTATATAACATTCATGATGTTCAAGAAGAAGAAGAAGAAGGATTGAAGGATTCAATTTGTTACTATCGGTCTTGGTCTATTTTCCTTCAAGAACGTCTTTGGGAGGTCTATGTTTGTTGTGACAACACCTGGGGAAACTGGTGCAAGTTTGTTGACTTTCATGTTAGTTAGCTGGAGTGTTGAGGCCGAGCGAGAGTGGCCTGTTTTCCAGCTTCACCCTCTCCCCATCCATCCTGATGTCGCAAACACAGCCTGAACATAGTGCTCCGCAAATTACCCAACTTCAAACCTTTGAATCCCAGACAAACTCAACTGCACACCAACCCCCTGGCGGCAACAAATACCCCCAGGCCCAGAGTGCCAAGCAGCTTCATGATCTTCGGCTGGAGGTAGACCCACGCCAAGCCGCCTTCCGCCTCGAAGGCTTTGATCCCAGCAATCGCCGCGGCGAAGATCAAACGCTCTTCCACCTCGGCGGTCCAAGCATCGCTCGAGCATCGAGCGAGAATGAACACGAAAACCATGAAAATCATTGAACATCATGCCAAATCCTGCCTAGAAAGCATGTCCCGAGTTGGGGGGGACTCTCAAGTCTCAAGATAGGAACGACGTAACGACCACTAAAACGGTGTACATCGGGTTCGGAAGAGTAGATGAAGTGGTGGTACGCTCAAAACTTGTGCTGCTAGTACAGGCAAAAGATGGCCAAAGGACCGAGTTCCTTTCTGGGAACTTGTCGGCCCATCTAATCGAAGTTTGCATTTCTGTCATTTTCGGGCACCGCGGCACCATAGCATGTCATGGCCTTGGCTCTGAGGCTTTTTTAGCCTCCTTAGCATTCTTTAATGTTCTTTAGCATCCGTGGATGTAATCTTCAAACTCTGGGCTCAGAAAGGGTTGCCGACTGCCTGCCATGGCACTCCGTACTCCTTTGCTTTGGCAATGCCATCCTGGAACCGGGACGATGGGTCAACATCATCATCTTCCTATTTACAAGCATGGCTGGGGGATTCCATGAAAAACATGAAACAACAAACTGCGGTAAACAACTGATTTCATGTCCACTGGGTCACTGGGTCTTCCAATTCATCACCTGGGCTTCCGTTGGACATGCATTGGAGGGTCCAAGTGCCTTCCAGGCAGTCGAAATCCCATGGCCATGTATGTTAGTATGTCTTTCAATTTCCAGACAGGCAACTAAACCCATGGTCATGTCATGTAGTATTCCATAGTATTCCATGTCCCGTACCTAGTTCTTGAGCGCAATTGGACGACGAAAAGGCCTCCCTGATGCTCTCCGCTCCTTCATGGCATCCACGTCGCTTTGCAGCGCTGCGGTGCGGAGCTTCTTCAACAAACCCTCCTGAGCGGCAGCGTCGTTGAGGTGTGTTGCGGTGCGTTCCGGGCGTTCGTTGGCAACTCCTGGTTCTGAGTGTTGGATGCTTGTGACTGGACATCCGGGGGGTTGCATGTTTGGGGCCCAACTCTTCGGTTAGGATTTCTGAGGGATGCCGGATGCCCTGACGGCGGCTGGCGCCATTGATCCAGACCAGTTGGGGACGAGATTTTCCTGTGGACAGTGGCATGGAATTGAGGCTTGATGCCTGCAAATGAGGTCCTCTCCAAAAGCACAATCCCAAAAAGATCGTTTATATGGAGCATTATAATGAAAGGGACATGTAGGGGTTTGTGCCATCTACTCTGACACCGCTGTACTCATTTTATTGTAATATGGTACTAATACTATGATGCCCAGCACTATCAGCACTATGACTGACTGGATGAATCCGTGGTCAAATTCAAGTGAGTAAGCAGGATGTGAACCTAGTTCTACCAACAGCGCGGCTTGGAATATCTTGGCTGATCTGCCCAAAATATGTTCTTTTAGGAAGTATGGCAACCCAAACATATCACCAAACTAGAATTACGGTATATAGAATATCTTGGAAATTTGTTTACAACCCTTTCTGTGCACCTGTCCCGTCACCCTACCTCTCTTTCTTGAGGTCCTAAAAACCCCGAGTCCCGCCGCCGCAGCGCAAAGCCATGCGAAACCATCATTTGCACCCAGTCTGCGCCCCCCAAATCGGTGCCTTCACCAAGTCTTTGGCGGGAACGATGATGGGATCCCACAGCCTTTGGCCCTTCGGGTCGGCGACGACGCGCGCCCGGGAACGGCGGGAACCGCGTGAAGCGTGAAAAACAGGGAAGAGGAGGGGGGGGGGCAAAAGGAAACGGATTTCACCATTTTCACCTAGGTGGGAGACTCTCAACACACCGGGCTTGGATTTAGGAATCAAGATGAAAAGCAATGATTGCACATATCCTCTAGAAACTCTTCTTTCGGGGTCCCCGAAAGAAGCTTGAGATACAAGTCATATATATGATATATGCCCAATCTGGTTTGTGCTCGAACTTTTGTATTGATCCAGGAACAACGCTTGGCTTCGGTTTTCATCCCTCACAAACAGCCCTATCGAGGCAGCCAATCTCCGTCTTAACGCTTTTCCTGTGGTTCATGTTGTTTGCCAGGACGGACATGCAAACATACCATATTGATGTTGATAGCCTATAGCTAAAAAATGTTACAAGTACGTTGGCGAATGCCTGTTCAGCTTGGGCATCAGCTTGGGCCGCCTGGTCATTCCAGTATTCCACGGTCAGCTGAGTCGGCTTGACATTGATCGCAGCAAAGCCATAGTCCTAAGCGAATCCACCGAATCACCCCAGTGGAGAAACCGCGGGGCCCCGCGGCCACCGAAGCACACTGGGAGAAACCAATGGTGTCAGAGTGGGTTAAATCCCAGTTGTGGAGATGGATGAGGAAAAGAGTCTTTGGAGCAGGGGGAGGGTGCTGTGCGCCTGGGTGTGTTTCTCAAGCATGAGGGGAGAAGAAACAAATGGTTCTCGGTTCCCATATCTTTTCTCCCTTGCTCTGTGGAGAAGGACTAGTAGGTGTTCCCCTCCGAAAACAAGGCATCACAAATTATTGACAGTGACATAGAGTGACGGTTTTGTTTTCCAAATTGAGTGGCAGGTTCAAAGGAGCCCACGAAGGAAACCGTTTCTTGTTGTTTCCCGTCCAAGCGAGCTCATGAGCTCCACATGGTGGCAGCTCCTTGAGCCAAACCCCCGGTTTGGCGCCCTGCCAGGAGTGTATAGGAGTGTACCCATTCACAGGGGTAGATTCCACAAAGGCATGGCCTGCAGGTTTAGGCAGGCATGCTGCTGCCTAGCGAGAACCCCCGTATTTCATGTATAACATAGAACAACATGAAGTCAAACACACACATATATATATATATATGTATCATTAACACAAAACTAACCAACAACACTGACCTCCCTGGATCGCATTTATGATGTGTGATCATTTTTTACAGCTTTATACTCGGATGATTACAATGTGGGGAAGTTCTGGTCCTGGTCGAAAAGAAAAGGTCTTGCCGGAGCTGATTGAAGTGTGAGACATGTGACTTGGTTCCCTTCTTCTTGTGCATCATCTACACTCCGACTAAGTCACATGGAAGTTGATGGTATGGCCGCTGGGCAAAAAGAAGGCTTTCCCTCTGCAATAAAGTGGTTTGGCACTTCCTGAAAGTGTCAAAGAGCGCCCTTCGTTAACAACCAACCCTGAACTCTTCTCCCCTTTCCGAGCGTCCATGGATTCGTGCAAGGTGTATGCAGTGCCACCGCCCGCAGATTGATAGCCACCACCCGACCCTGAGATGATCACCTGCCAACCAAACTACACCTCGTGTTCGACAAAGCCATGTCGTGCTTACTCAGCCTCATTTGCGATCACTTGCAGAACAGTATGGACGCCTAAGGGCCCAAGATAGCGGTTAGCAGTGACAACAAAGGCAAACAAAGGGTCTCTTTAAATGGACCCCGTGGCACTGTTTAAATGCTGATTTAAAATACAGGAACTCTTCCAAGAGCTAGTCCATTGGTTGGGGGCCTTCCTCACATTGCAGGACCTCAAGGCAGGTCTTGCCCAAACTATGCCGCCGATGGACAACGCGGCGGATGGACTCGAATCACGACGACGTCTTGGACGTCTTGGACGTCCCATTCCAATCACCGAACTCTGTGGATGACCTGAATGCCTCTGCTCAGTGACATCTGTTTGCTGAAGAAATGCGGGTAGATGGGGTATGGGGCCACAAAAAGGATCACCCCATGATATAATTGAAACAACAACGACTATACAGTGTGCATATATTTATAGACCCATGACCCAGCCACCTCAATGCCCGAGGGGTGCTGATCGTGACGAAGCTGATGCACATGACCTGCGAAGTGAGAGGTGAAACAAAAACAAGGAAACCCACCCTGTGACTATTTGGCGAGCGCATAATAACCAGCACCTTCGACCATATTGCTCGCAAGAAACATGGAATTTGCCCAGTTCTGCTGGTCGACCGCTAGTAGGGCTGAGTAACGGGGTTGATGGTGGTTTCCCTTTCACATCGTCATCCAGGGTCCTCGGCAGGATCAGAGTAGGTGGTCAGATCATTCCCGTGCCACACTATGAGATCTGAAATACACACTCACACACATACTGCAGCACATACCAACCACCCAATTGGACAGAAAACGACGAGATGTCAATCCAATTGGCATATCTGCCTAACACAATGAGCAACGATCAGAGTTTCTAGCTTTTTCAATGGCACTAGCTGTCCGGCTTTCTCCTGCGTGTAAAAAACACACACAAAACCAACGTTCATTCATACAACTTACTCTTCCTTGGCCAAAATGAAGCTGAAACAAGGCCCAACGCTTCGAAGGTCAGCCGAGGTACTTTTTGTTTATGTATGACAAATCGAACAGTGTCAAAACACAGGGAAACACACACCCACACACACGCACATTTAACACAGCTATGTAGACTCTCTTGCCCTTCCTGAGTCCACAGTGTGGACCAGGCCTGCCATGTACACAGAGACCCCGCGGTCTCGCATCTCTTCCATCAAAGACTCCTCTGCGTGGTCTGGCTGTGAAGCGCTTCTACCCTCAAGATCCAGACAAATGATGTCAATGTGATGATACACGCCTGTCTCAAAAGAAGAAAACAGCTGATGCGTCCATGGTCGAAGAGGTAGTAGAGAAACCAACATCAATGGTTTCGGAAGACATTTCAAGATAACTATTTCAAGCAATGTACCTGGATTCTGGACAACCAGTTAGGCACATTGGGCGAAAGTGAAGCGGTTTGACCCACTGCAGTTAATGAGACCATGTCCAGCCATGGACTCTGAACTTAGCCAAGCCCCGTCCTCGAAATTCTCCGGAGGAGCATGTCCAACCACCCATTTCCAGTCTGCTTTGGACTTCCTCAGCGGATAGATAAATACTTGCGATCGTGCAGGTGAAGTTGATGGGACTTCCGCGAATCATGCATGGCTGACAAATCAAACAAACGAAGTGCAGTGTTAATAAGATTAACTTAATATATTAACTTATAGGTTCATATGCACCTTGCTGCAGAACCAGCTGGACCATTCACTTGTTGCAGCGCCGCTCAGGCGCATGGCTGCCTCACATGCGCCTGGTGCTGTACTTCTGCAGAACATCTGGGAACCAAACATCGCCGAGACTCTCAAGGGCTGGCAATAACCACTCGCGCTGGCGCGTCCAGAGTCGCATGAAGAAGGAGATGCATTTCTCAGGAGTCGCACGACACATTGGTAGGTATCTCTCAACAGCAACTAGATAGATTCTGAAAGATCTGAAAGGACACATCAATCAGATCTATAAACACCTGCGCTTCTTCGTTTCAATCCTTGACACACACACACACACACACACTGTGATCATCCACCAAGCCACTTCCCTGGCTTGGCCAGGACAGCCACCACCTCCACGACATTGGCTGGAGATATGCGCTTTGTTGGTGTCAATGACGAAAACATCCAGGGTCACATTTGCCTGCAGCCACAGCCCCAAAAGCACAGTTTAGCAGGGAGCATGGATAAATTGTGGATTGGGGGGTTGCCGGTTGCCGTTGTGAAACAACCCTGCAGGTGTTTGCCATGAACTGTCAATTGAACAAACCCTTTGCTTCAAATATGTATTCTACCTCCATCGGTAGAATAGCACACGTTCGCTTCTTTAGAATCGGATGTACGCTCTGACAGAGCACTGCAGACGACTCGGATGTTCGCCGTGCGGTGTACAGCCGGGGCCTTCTTGAAGTTGAAGGACTTCATGTACCACCGGTCTTCACCTGGAGCGGTGTCACAACCGGCCATCGCTGTTAGCCCCAAACCATGACCGTGCCACGGAAAAAGCTCGGCCTCTGGGGCCCATTGGAAGCTGTCTGTGGACGTGGCTGTCTATGTCTGTGGACGTGGCGCAAAAAGGGAAAAACACGTGAGCCTCTTGGTGGGTGTGACCAATCTCGGTGCTGGAGGAATCCAAAGACAGATTCTTTGCGTGCGCATATACCACGGCCAAGGAGAGCTCATATGATACTGAATGATTCTAAATGTACAGTTATAGAAATGTGTATAAATAATTAAGCATTATGTAACAGCATCTTCCACGTCTCGTACATTGTAATATGCTTTAACTTGAATCCATCATTCATTTTAGTCTATTCCACGGTCCATGTGTTTTTCCTGCAAAACAACTACTGTAACTGTCACTTGCAAGTCTAGTTTCCAACTGATGCTTGAGAACCCACTTAAAGCACCTGGGTGCCGGACCCTTCATTGGCATCACCCAGCGGACTTCTTTATCAGAAGGCCACTGCCAGTCATGCTCAGTGTCGTAGTCAATCATGGCCTAAACGGTGGAGCCAGGTACTTCGATCACTGTGGCAGCAAAGTGACCATATTATACCATTTATATATATATAATAACATATATATATATATAATAACATACACCAATCAGCAATACACAGCAGTATACCATGGGTAGGAACCCTACACCCATCGGAACCCGTCCCTGTTTTCCAGGGTCCAGTTTTGCCACCTCCTGACCTCCACCGTGGTTCCTTCGGGTGAGCAGATCGATCACGCATCCTTCGGGAGCTGCGGAGCGGCCGAAGCCCGGCCCGGACTCGCTGACGGAGGAAGCGGTTGCTCTCCCTCGGTGTCCAGATCGGTTTTTGGGACACCGATTGGGATCGAAAGCGCCAAAGCGATGGCGCGCAACGAGACCGGTTCTGTCGGGTCGTAAGTCGTTTCTAGGTCTGTTCCGTCCGGTCTTTCACCCACACTGCTAGATCGAGATCGATGTAGCCCCTGTGATTGTCCAGCTTCGAGTCGACGGTGCAACCGATCCCGCCTGGGAACAGGGCCGATCTCGTCGGGTATCCTTTCCATCCGTCTTGAATAGGCACCTGAAAGGCTCCATGAAGGGCCCAAGGATTCTTAGGGATGAACTGACTCCGTTCTCGACAAAGGGCCGGAGCTCCCACTTCGTTGTTCGATCCACCGAACGCCCACCGATCCCTGCACGCACCCGAGAAATGGTTCCCTACCTGTCAAAGCTTTGTCAACAACATGGGCATGGACGAGGCACGGACTCAACGAAACAAGATTGAACATGCACAAACGCAGTTCCTTACATGAAAGTCAACCTTACTGGAAGCCACTATACCCGACTGGAAGTCAACCTTAGCAAAAATACCTTCCTGGAAGTCACTTATTGTAATTTGTCCAAGCCAACCTTGCCATCTTGAGCCCAACCGCATGAATGACTAGATTGGGCTCCTCTCGCTAACAGGTTAGCCTACTAAGTTAGCCTCAGAAACGGTCGGGCACCGTCGGGCACCTGGAACCAGTCAAGTTCATAGTAGATTCTGCTAGATTCTTATGACGTTTATTGCCCCCTAGCCACTGGTCACAGCACACCAAACATGTCTCATCTTCACTGAATCTGCTAGGTCTGCCTATCTTCACTGAATCTGCCACTCACATCGTCTTTAGTGCCTTTCAAAGGCACACATCACAGGTATGCCCACCATAGTCATGATTGCCTCAGCTCTCCCAGAGGTGCCCAAGCTGGCCGGTGTCCGATGCAAAGACACAAAGGAAAGGCAGAATACTTCCAAATTCCGCAGGTTATAGATCGCAAAACTCACTTCACCTCACCCTCTTCCACTTCCACGTACGTCACCCACTGCCCGGAACATTCCACCGCCACCCTCACTAGCTCTGCGCGCGCAGAGCGAGCTCTTGGGCACCAAGAGGCCCAATGAGCCCAGCCAAGGGATCTGAAGGCTCTCATCAGTGTAGAGTTCCTGCGGGCCCAGCCGTCGCCGACTCCATTCACCGTATTGCACACCAACATCGGTTTGTTGAAGCATGTTGAAGCCCACTCTCAGTAGCTAGCCAATCCGCCAGTGTAGCGGTGTTTTCAAGCATTTTGGTCCTCAAGTTCCTAAACATTTGTTCCAAAATGTTCCAAGCAGTTTACCCATGTTTGCCCCAATACCTTTGGCCGATCATTTACGAAGAACTACACTAGAAGGATTGTCATCATGTGCATGCATGACTCTAAACCTCAAAAATGCATCGAATATAATCATGTCGCTGCCATCTGTCATCGCTTTATCTCCACGTAGCTTTTCGAACGAGGGAGTCAAGAATGAGCCAAGCTCCTCTGTCAGGATGCATCATCGGATTCCCGAGAATTCCCGCACAAGGGGTCTTGGCGAAATCAAGTCCGCAAAGATTGCAGCACATCCGTGACTGCAAAATGCAGAAAGGTATTATTCAAAATCAGAAACGATCACCTTGTCACCGAGGCTCAGGGAAAGGCGACGCTGGCTTTGTGGCCAAGTTACTAAGGCCCATCCACTCATGCGATCTTGGCCATTTTGAAGAAGTCTTCTTTCGAGTGAATACCAACCGCTTGAGGTGCCCTTGTCTCCCCAAGGCTCGGACCTGTCATCTTTCCATCCACCAAGAAGCTCTTGCCCAAGGACTCTTGTGCGAAGCTGATGACCTTGTCAATGGTCGGGGTGGGCACTTCCAGCAACTCTGCCAAGCCACGTGTGAAGCACAAGCCGGTGGGCACATCCTCCGCCAAGTAGCGATACTTCAAGTCAGGCATGAAGCCTCCCTCCACTGGGTTCATCGGATGTGTCAATCCCACATAAGCACCTGGGATATGTGTAAACATAAGTCATACAAACAAAAATGCCTATGCATACATATATGCATGTGTATATATATATATGTATATCATGTGTATGTCAAAAAAATGTGACATCAGCTTTTGGAGGCAGCACGAAGGTACTGTTTGTGTTCATGGAAAGCTTCAAGGTGGAATCATCTGCCATCTGGCCCTTGTACGAGTCCAAGTACCATCGATGCAAGGTGCAAGCGTCTTTCAAGTTGAAACCTGGAACCAAGGCTTCCACCTTGGATGTGCCGATCGGACCTGGACCATATACGAGTAGCCCATTTATATATAGCCCAATATGGCTGTGAACCTGTGGTATACACCTCGTTTTTGACCCCAAAGATACTTTGGCTGTAGGTCTACAAGTGCAAGTGCCCCAAAGAGAACATCCTTCACAATGCAAGCGATTTTCATGTAGAAGGGGCCTCCCAAATCAGACTTTCTGAAGCAACCCGGACACAAATAGAACTATATACTTAGATAAACTTAGAGCATCTTAGAGCATCGATCCCATCGACTCTCGAGATTTGGGGGACTTCCAAAAGACATGCGCAAAGAGCCGACACGGGGGGTTGTCCCACATGGTAGTTGCAGCACTAGTTGCAGCACCCAAAACGGCCGCAAACAATAGAAGCAGAAGAAACCCTCAGAACCGCATGGTCCAGCATGTCCGAGCAACCTTTCGGCACACATCCTGCACCTCGTCTGAGAGGCCCAGTAGCACCTTCTCGGTGAAATCATCCACGCCCTGGTAGAACAAAGGCTTCTCTGCCAGGGGCTTCCCATCCCATTTTTCCTCACGGGCCAAGAACATCGAAGATGGAGAGACTGCAAAAAAAACCCACAAATAGTTGGCTATACAGTCAAGCACTTTCTGCCACCATTTTCAGGGGGTCTCCCGGTTTTCTCACACCTTTTGGACGAAAAAGACCGATTTGAGCGAACGCCTACGCCTATAACGGCTACTTTTCATGCTTCCGAGTGTCCGAGCACCAGCGCCCATACATGACTCCAGGATGGATCACCTGCCCTGGATTCCGCAAACTGATTCCCAAATTGTTGGGGCTCTTTTCGACGGCTGGGAAGACGCTCAACAGACCTTGCAACGTGGCAATGGCTCGAGTGGCCTCCGACTCTGGAGTCACCGCAGCAAGAATCTGTCCTTTGGTGCCCAAGATGGTGGCTCGTTTGCCCCACTCCGTGAAACGACAGGCCCATGGCAAGGTTTCAAAGCCCACAAAGGCCAAGCTGTCCGCTTTTTCTTTCATCTTGGAAGCAAACAGGATGTCGCCACCTGAACGGGCAGGCATGCATGCGACAATGGTGCCAGCCTTGATATAAGGGTAGAATGCCTCAAAGTACTGGCCATGAGCAAAGGAAGGAACAGCCAAAATGATCACATCTGCCTTGCCAGCCAAACTTGGGTCATTGGAAATGTCAGTTGGTGTTGAAATGAGCTTCCTTCCAGTGTCCAAGGTCAGCTCCATTCCCTCAACCTTGTCATGCCAGCGAGCTCCCATCATGTGCTTCTTCCACTTTGCCGCCTCATCCGCATACAGCGAAATGGCGTAGGTCTCATAACGCGCAGCAAACATGGCGGTAGCAACTTGGGCTGCATTGCCACCACCGCATACCAACACGGTCAAGCCTTTCTTCGTCTCGTCACCCATGCTGCCAAGAAGCGGAGTAAGTGGAGTATCCTTTTGGGCTTTGCTGCTTGAGCTTGAAACTTCAAGGACACAGTTCATCGTCACAAGACTCGAATGCGTTTTGAACATCCACGGGCCACCATGCAGGACGGACGACGGACCGTGCTGTTGTCCGAAAAAAGACCTCGGCTCAACTCCCCACGGTGCAGGACGGACCCGGTGCTCGTCACTCCACTCCTCAAACATCATGCTCCACATCTTGTCCTTGGTGCTCGTCACACCTCGGCTCGGCTCAAGGTTGGGGGGGTAGGCCGCTACAGGAAGAGGTCAGCTAGTTAGTAGCTATAAGTACTAAACAACTCTATATAAACACGAAACATGCTCCTAGCTAGGACCAGGATATAGCTCACGCTTCCTTGAAAAAGTGCTCGCACTAATGATTTGGCTCCTAGGTTCTTAGCAACACTTATGAAAACTTAATCAGATTTGTAGCAGAGCTTGGCAGCATGTTCCTCTACATATGGCCATGTGTCAATTTTCATGACCATAGGACCATAAGCGTGTATGTAGCAAGGGTTTGTTGGCGAGCAACACAACTTCTTGTCAGCCCTCAGCTAAAACATGAGCGCAAAACTAAGACTGTTATGAACTTTGGCTATCACAATCCATCACAATATACTTTCATCATCTTTCATCATCCAAAAGATCTTCTGTAGACCCCACGATCTTTCACAAACCCGGGAACATCCTCCCGCACGCCCCTCCCGCACCACATGGACGGTCACTCTGAGCCCCAACCGTAGTAGTAGAAATTGTCGGCCGTGTTGATCACAAAGCTCCTGGGTGAGGTGATACGTATCGAGTCAGACTTCACGTCGTGTCGAGTCTGGAACGAATGGAAGTCATGTCTACATGGCAGCCATGGATGCATTTGGATGCATTTTGTTTGGGTGGGCAAATCGAAGATTAAATGAGTTCTGGTTTCCAGATGTTTCTTAGCAGGTTCTGGTTGTTTCAGCTCTGCAAATTTGAAAGACGTGCTCTTGAAACAACTTCCCCGCTGCAAATGCAAAAAAGAAAGCAACGATCTGAAGCATTCGCCTGAACCACAAGATGACATTGTCAACATGGTTTGGCTAGTCCACGAAGTCTCTTCGCCACCAAGTCTCGGGTGTCTCTTCTGAGCAAGGTCGGTCATCGAGGTGGCCACATTTTGCTGTGCAAAATGATCCCGCCAGTAGGCGTCTTTGTCCTCGTATTTTTCCAACATGACAATCACGTTTGGAATGGAGAGAGCGGGACTATAGCACAAAAGCGGAAGAAAAGGACAAGTGTGTCAATTGGGAGAATTAATATACACCCATGCATTGACCCAAATGAACAAAATCACAAGCACATATGGCTCGCGGGAAGGATTGAATCGCGGCCAGGGCAGGCTATGGAACTGCAGGCGCTGGTATCCATAACCTATAATAACATATAATAACTATACAGGTTCAGCATCTCAGATTCAAGGCAGGATTAGCCAGGAAAACCATGGAACACCCCTCTGAAGCACATGCAGCATCTTTTCCTCACAAATCCATGAGGCCATGACCCCCTGGGCATCCGAGGGCCTTCCGCCCACAGGAGTTAAAACATGTGGAAGAAAAACACCCAAGCACACCGGGTTCACCCCATCGCGTGGGGCGATTTCGCCGCCTCTACTTGCAAGGCTAATTACCTCCCTTCGCTCTCTTCGCCTATGCAGTGGTCACCAGTGACCAAGACCGGAGAGAAGACCCAACTCCTCAATTCACCTGATCTCGAAATCTTCCAAAAATTGAGGATTCCAAAGATTTCCAAAGAATTCCAAGGGATCGCAAACCCCCCTTGCCCTGCACACGAATGGAGCGAGAGTCTGGGTTGCAACGATCACGCATGGACCGACCTGCAGTCGTCGCTCCACACGTGGAGAAGCCATGCAATTAGGATCGATTAGGGGTGGTGTTGGAGGTGCTCAATTAGCTGGAGTAGGAATCCTCCAAGATCGGAGAAAAGACAGTTTGATTTCTCTTGGAACAAAACTGAAGTCAGAATGGTCTGCTGAGGATACCTGCGAAACCAAGCACCCAGCAGAAAAACACCGGACCCATTCTACAGCCCGTTTAAAGCCACTGAGGCTTCCTTCGACGCACAGTCTGAGGTTCTCGCAGTCTGAGGTTGGCGTTTTCGTGCTCCACGACTTTGGACCAAGGAAGGTGTGTTTGTGGAACTACCTTGGACCAATGACCGCCCATCCTCCCTGAGGTTCCGGCCATCACCGCCACCCCAACTGCACTCAATGTGCATCGACCCGCAAATGGGTCGTCCGTTGCCCCAACTCTTCTGCACCTGTAGCGGGAGCGGAGGGCATGGACCGCAACAAACTCAACCAAAACAAGGACTGCGACAACCAAAGCCACCAAACAAATGAATACATAGAATCGTCGTCACCCTAAGAATGTTCACATGTCCATGGTCTTGGCTGTTTTGGGGTACTTTGGCATTGGCCTCACAGCTGTTTAACTTTGTCGAACACTCGAACACTGTGTCTTAAGCTCCTCGGCCCAGTCTCCCTTCTCAACGCAAACAAACAAGCATTATTAGTATACTCGCACTTTTGCTTGCAAACCACATCAAACCACTCACTGTGGCAAAGCTCGCCGCCAAATCACATCTCAATGAGCATCTTTCATGGGTCTTTCCCCATGCGCCAATTGTACGAATCGGGGTCTTCGCAACTGCCCATCCCAAGAGTTTTGCCGTCCTCCTCGCCAGTGGTGACCTTCTGCTCCTTCCACGCCTTGAAATGGCTTCAGCCAAGAAAAGGCATGGAATGGCATGGATCAGGATTCCGTTGGTTTGAAACGATGGCAAGCATTGTAAAAGGAAAGAATCTCTTAGTGCTGAACTCTAAGACCTTCGATTCACTCAAGCAAGCATGACAATTCACGAGTCATGGACTGTGACAGTTGTTGAGATCATGTCTAGGATTCACATATCATTAAAAGTGAATCAATCGGCTGCTGCACCACAAAACAGGTCTTGCCAACAACCAGAACAATGACACAAGGAACAAGATTGAAGCCGTATGATTGGTTTGTCTCGAACGACACATGCTGCGCAGCGGGACCTTTGGTGAGGAAGAGCCGTAAAAGCATACGCTGTTCCAGGTCCTTAGCGCTAGCAAAAGGTCCAGCAGAATTCAGCAGTCTTGAAGCCCAGAAAAAAACAATCCACTTCTCATCTCAAAGGAACCAACGCTGCATGGCAGTTGGACTTCCAAGTCTTGCAGAACCACAAAGAACCACAGAACATCCCGAGGAATTCAGCAGCAAACATTGAGAACCGAGCCATCGGTCCATTAAGGTTCCAGTGGAACTGTACCAAAACATGCCAAGATAAATCGGAAATAAATGGTTGTACCAAGTTCAAGAAGCCAAGTTCAGTGGAAATGTGGAAAGAGTCATGAAAAAGTGTTTAATTTTGACATATGTTGACTTGTCCAGGCCTTTTGACCTTTAAGGCCCCGGGAAGTCACTCCAAGAGAAAGCGCCTCGCGAGTTCACATCTTTCGCCCAAGAAGCGTGACATCCCAATCAGTGCCCATGTTGATGCCGGTGCCTGGTGCACGCGCACCAGTTCACTCAGCAAAAGCCCTGTTCAATACCACATGGAGTGTATATGGCACATGATTATACTTTCATAGATGTTCAACATGTTTCCATATATATATATATACTTGAGGCCAAGGGGGGGGGCGAAAGCTAGCGCTCCAGAATGGGAAAGTGGAGGGCAGCGAGGTAGGAAAAAACACGGCGCTCTTTTTGGAGGCAGTCGCACGGAGTAGCAGAAGGCAGGACGCCTTGCACAAGTTGGGCGGGGCAAACGATTCCAGGTGAAGAGTCCTTTATATGTGGCTCTTTGCCCGGATCCTCCTGCGAGAGAAGAGAGAGAAGAGAGACGGAAAGACGAGAGACAGAGAGGAGAGAGAGAGAGAGAGA